AAGGAGAAGAGGAATGCTTCTTCTCTTTCTTTCTTCATTGGAAGAAAAAAGAGGAATGCTTCGAAGCATTTGTAGCGTCAAGTGGACCGCAGCCATAGAGAGACAACGGAATATCTTTTGCAATAGATATAGAGGATACCATATTTTTACAATAAACGCTGAGCGACATCTCGTTTTAGACACATGCCGATAAATGTGATGAAATCTATTCGTTTATCGCACACCCGCGAGATTCGACGCGACACTAGCGTTTATTACACACGACGAGAAACACTATCGCAAGAAGTTTTATTACCATCGGATTGGTCGTCGTAAGGTGGCTCGTTCGAGTCGTTCTTGACCAATATATTCGATGTGGTGAGATCACCATGAATAATGTTCCTCGAGTGCAGCCTACCTATCAGCGTCCCCAGCCCGCGTCCTATGAAATCTACCAGACGATCCGCGTCCGCCTTTCCCGAAATCTTTTTTTCTATGAACTCTTTCAGCACGGTGGCGTTCTCCACGTACTCCATATAGATACTACGTCGCTCCAAGTCCACCAGGTACAAGGCCGGCGTCGCTATTCCTTGGAAACGGAAATGGGCAAGTTATTATATATGTTACGCGAATGAAATCGATGAACGCGAGTCCGTGTGTTCTTCCGACGGGTCGCGCGTTTTCACCTGCGGATTTCGCCCGGATAATGGCGCGAGCCTCGGCCCTGATGCGGTCCTTGGTGAGGCGAGCGTCCAGTTCCGGGTGGCGATAATTCTTTACGAATCTCTCCTTCATCAGGCACGTTTTTCCCAGGTAGAGCCCCTTGTAGAGACGCGCCTCCGCGCCTTGCGCTATCAACTCCGAGTCTTTCATTGTCATTTACTGGGGATGTCAGCTGCGTCGGTTAGCGAATATTGCGCCCGCAAATATCTCGCTCCTTTTCGCGTCGTCGCAACAACAGGCTCTAGACGACAGAAAACGAAAGGACTTGAGGGGAGAGATTTTGGGGTTCTTCCTCGCTCGCGTGCGAGCGAGGGGCGAGATCCTTCGTTACCGCGAGGGTTGCGGGCAACGTGCATGCGCATGTCCAATCAATTAGACGCGCAAAATATTGCATTCGCGCGTTGCATTCGCGAAGACGGATGCATACTTATCGCAATCTATACGCAACCGAGTATCTCCACGATAAAGCGATGCGCGAGTAACTGGCTCTCATCGGGGGGTCTTTAGCGAAGCGTGGGAAATCAAATGCGTATATACAGACACTTGATCCCTGATTTGCGCTAGCACGCTTTTATTCCTGTTCGCACATAGACATAGGAAAAGATGAGGCGAATGAGATATTTGGTTTTTTGGCCGTGCCCATTCGCTTGCGCGAGGCGAGGCAAGAGCGAAACGTTAAGGGCGAGGCCGCGGGCGCGAAGGCGAAGGCGAGGGCGCGGGCGCGGGCGAGGACGAGGGCAGCGAGGAGGTAAGGTACTCGGGAGAGCGTGTGGCTGCTAGCGCTAGCGAGGCGAGACGAGGGCGAAACGCGAATCGATCGTCACCCGCCAGCGTCCTGCGCGCTAATCGCTATCCCGGCGCTAGTATTCGCCCGTACTTTGTTCTCGTCGGTCCGCCACTCGCCGCCGTTGCG